GTGTGTATTCTCTCAAATGGAAAAAGTAGGCTAAGAGTTGGGGGTAGCCTTCCTTATTTCATTAAGGTTAGAAATGACAGACAGCTCTCCGGTTAGTGAGTTATGTGATAGTTTGTATATGCTTGGCCTAGGGAGTGGCTCTATTTGGAGGTGTGGCCTTGTTGGAGTAGGTGTGTCACTGTAGGTGTGGGCTTAAGACCCTCATCCTAGCTGCCTGGAAGTCAGTCTTCCACTAGCAGCCTTCAGATGAAGATCTAGAATTCTTTTTTTTTTTTTTTGGTTTTTTTTCAAGACAGGGTTTCTCTGTATAGTCCTGGCTGTCCTGGAACTCACTCTGTAGACCTGGCTGGCCTCGAACTCAGAAATCCGCCTGCCTTTGCCTCCCAAGTGCTGTGATTAAAGGCGTGTGCCACCACTGTCCGGCGAAGATCTAAAATTCTTAGCTCCTCCTGCACCATGCCTGCCTGGATGCTGCCATGTCCCAGCCTTGATGATACTGGACTGAACCTCTGAACCTGTAAGGCAGCTCCAATTAAATGTCTTTCATAAGACTTGCATTAGTCATGGTGTCTGTTCAAAGCAGCAAAACCCTAACTAAGACAAGCTATAAGGGGACAAAGAAGGGTGTGACTCCATAGCAAGCTGGAAAGCATGGGCTATAGAATAATTCATCCAATCTATGTTCTCAGCCATACATCTTATAATAAGGTACAGCAATTCATTGGGAGTACAAAGGTAAGAGAGAAAATCCACCCATTATCCACAGGGTTGTTGATAGGATGGAATTTGAATAATAACAATGAATTGTTTTCATTACAGGAGCTGACTGCTCTATGCAGGGGAAGGGCACAGTTTCACATGAAAATATGAAATAATATTTAAAATATTTAAATTTAAAATTTATGAAACTCTTAAATAATTTAAAATATTGAAATTTATTTAATTATAATGAAATTTAAATTTAATGGAATTAAAAATAATTTTAAAATAATGGAATAGAATTTGGAGAGAGAAACCATTACAAAAGTCATACATTTAGGGGAGAAATATAGATTTCAAAAGGATAGAATTCCTGAAACAGATGGACTCTGGATCTGATCCCACTAAGAAATTCTCACTGTCTTTTTTTTTTTTTAATTTTCTCCCCCTGGAACTTAGTTCCATAAGTTTCTACAAACAAATAGGAATCTCAGGATGATCGAATCCAAGTCACTCAAGAAGACCTACAGGTCAGTGAGTATGAACCTCTGCCCATCCCATGTTCAGTGAAATACTTCTGACAAGCCAGTAACCGTGTGTTAATAAAACACCTTTTTCAAAGAGTAAGATCAATCAACAGAATATGATCCAACCAATCTGACTAAGAATGGTGTCAGAGTCTCAGATAAAACTGAGCAGATTCCAGGGAACCAGTGCCTGGAGCAACACGAAAGCAGAAGCCTCCACACATCTTTCATTTCTCTTGCTGAGCCTGGGAGACTCAAAGACATTAATTTTCACGTTATGTTCCACAGGACCTTGGCAGCATTTCTTACACGCTCCTTAAAGACAGCACGGAAGTGGGGGTTGGACTGGGGAGGCATTTCCAGTGTGTCTCAGTTCTATCATTTTCAGGCTCACAAAATATAATATTTGCAGAGTGTAGCTACAATTCCCTGTTCCCCTTCCTTTCCTGTGGCCTGCTAGCTCTGTGACTTCATCTATGAGCAGCCAGTGACAGTGTAGCAGAAGCCAACAGGACAGGCATAGGAAAGTGTGTACCAATGACTGGTGAGGGTGATATATGTTTTATGTCTCTTGGGAAACCAGTGGGACCCATAGAAACTGTGGGTTCCACCTGCTTGTTTTCAACCAATTGTTCTGTCTGAGGCCATAGTGGACTCCAAAGTGACCAATGGTGGGTCACTGTTGAATTTTGAAAACCAATGTTTGAGAATAAACAAGGCACTAAGATACTGGTAGTAATGCAGAACTCTAAAGTGTATGTCAAACTGTGTTCGGTCTCCATTCCCTAGGAGAACAATCTCTAGAATATTCATGGAGAAAAAAGTTTTTAAGATCATAGTTACCTTCTTCATGTTTTCCATTGGGTTATATACCAAAATTATAAGTGTCTCAGAGTATTTTTGAGAAATTGATCCTAAGCTACTTGGAAGGAGAAGAATAGAAGTTAGTTATTTATCTAACAGACATTTAAAGTCTAAAAGATAAAGATCCCCTTTGTAGGATAGCATCCTCTCGGAAGAGATCAGTCTCCTGAATTAGATGTTCTCTCAGGGGACAGATGACACTGGGCACTGCACAGGGCTCATTTCCCTGGGTGCTGAAGAAGGAGAGTGTTGCATGGTGGGAGAGGTGCTTAGCTGTGATGGGTTACCAGGTCAGGCAGAGCTCCACTGATGCTGGTGTGTGGCAGATGCCTGTGACACATGTCTAGGGCTGCCATGCTGGTGGGCTTGGGAATAAGTGACATACATGCTGGTCATTTCATAAGTGACAATGTTCTCCTTTCATGTTGCACAATACCCAAGACAGCAACAGGGAAAGGGCCCATGCCCTCAAACTTCAACAGAGCCCAAAGAGAGGCAACCTTTGAAAATTTCCTTGTACTCCGCTTTGGATCAACCCAGGTTCCCTTTTTCTGTTCAAGAGTGAACAGGCTGGTTTGTCCCCACCTCAAACCATTGCCTTCCTTCCTTCCTTTGAAAACTATCCCCAAAGCTACTTTTGGACAACTGCCAGGATGACACTCAATTCAAGAATGGAGTATATAGTGGGCTGACCATTATTAATGAAAAATATCACCGAGAGTCTTTAAATCAGCCCATAAATCACAGCTTTCTCATGGGATGCTCTCGCTCTCTCTCTCTCTCTCTCTCTCTCTCTCTCTCTCCCCCTCTTTTCATCTCTGTCTCTCTTTTTCTTTCTCTGTTATTTTTTGTTTGTTTGTTTATTGAGACAGGGTCTCTATGTAGCCTTGGCTGTCCTGGAACACTCTATGAACCCTCCAACTCACAAAGATACTGTCCCAACTCCCTTGACTGGTTTTAAACACCCAGTGAGGTGATAGGTGATCATGGCAGGAAAGGAATAGGGGTGACCAGTAGGACTGGGGACAACCATTCTGTGTCAGTGAGCCTGTAAGTAAGGAGCTCTTTTTGGTATCCTTAAAACCAAGTCTCTAGAGATAAGGGGACATAATGAGATTGCTCATCCTTGTTCTAAAAACACACATATACACTGCTGCTAATGGTCCATTTGCAGCACAGCATCTAGTTACGTGTTATTATTTATGTCACGGTGACCAGGCTGAATGTCCCATTCAAATATCTACAATCCAGATTGTCACTCGACCAACCTTCTCCACCCTCGCTCCCCCATTCATATCACCTGTGTTTGCAAATAGAAGATGCTTTATTTCCCTCTCTGGATTCTTGCAGGGACTGCCTGGTATTGGTTCTACCAGGATACCACAGAGAGTATTTCCAGAAAAGATTATGCCACGTAATGCTTAGCATTTATATAGGTTCTTTTGATTCCAAAACAACTTATAAATATCGCCTACCATGACAGCATCCTTGCGAGGTAGGTGAGTATTATTGTCTACATTAACAATAGAAACCAGAGGCCAACGAGGGAAGTGCTCTGTTCTGAGCATAAAGTCAGGAGCCGTACTGGGTGTAGGCATCTTGGCTCTTTGCTCTGGGCCCTGAAGAGGTCACACCTCTCTCATGTAACAACAGTCTCTGTTAATACAGGGTTATATATTAGATACATATAAAACAACAACACACAATGACATTATAGAACAATAATCCAATATTTCTGTTTCTTAGTAAAATATGTTAAGCACAATATTTAAATTGCATTTGTCTGAAAAGCATTTGGTATATTAAATAGCAGAAGGTATATTAAATAGCTCTATTATAAACATTTGCTGGCATACTCTTAAACTCTTAATAGCATAATAATTCTAAATAAATTAAAATCCACCAACGCATAGACCTTTCCTTTATAATACTGTTAACCAAACACAAATGTGAAACTGCTTTATTATTCAAATGCAGACTTAATGGCTTGCCGGGTATTAGCAGGGTCACTTCATTTTTCTGAGCTTGAGGAAAGGATATATATATATATATATATATATATATATATATATATATATATATA